CAGTAACTGGTCCAATAACACACTGCAAATTCGCAAGGATAACATTTGCATAACGCGTACACATTAAACCAACGACACACAACATACAGCACACAAGAGAACTTTCTACCTAATTAATTACAGAACCTGTAGTTGTACTAATTAAAAGGGGTTTTACAATCGATTGTTACCATACAGGCATATGCTTTTACATTCCTCCCCTCCTTCCGCACCCCCTACTGTCCTCTCTCTGTTGCTCTTGTTACACACATTGTATTGTGTTACTTTGTGCAATGCACAATCCTAATTAATTATTACGTTGCTGATAATTAAAGCTCTTGAGCTGACTTGATCTTCAGTTTGGTTTTTTTTCCAGGCTTAACGATCCAATCCTATTCGACGCGGATGAATTTTTAAATGCGGACTACAGCAAAAACGCGGATAATGAAGAAAGCTTCGACGTGTACAGGTAAAGGGAAGCTTTTTTTAAAATTAAAATTCATCATAAGTTAAATATTTACCTTGGAAATAGCTGGTGATATTTTTTTGTTTGTGTTTGTGCTTCTGCTCGAAGAGACGACAGGGAAAAATATTTGCGGAGCCGTAAACGGACGGTTGATCCGAAAAAAACTACTTGCATGCTGTACTTGCAAGCGGATCATACCTTCGTCGAGCATTACAAATCCGAGGAAGCTTGCATCGAGGTCATGACGCGACATGTGCAGAGAGTTAATGCTATTTACCGATACACTGGTAAGAAATACTATTTTATTTACTAACTTTCAATTCAACGGTGCAAATTCTTGAACTTTAGTGATACAGAAGATTTATTTGATGATTTAGTACTTGGTCCCGTGTATCTTTTTGTAAATTACTGCAGTGGATTTTAAACTTTAAAATGTCCCATAGTAAATGCATGCGCTTCAGCCGCTCAGCGTGCCCGCTTTTTGTTTCGTGCAATTCGAGCGATCTTAGTGAGCGCATAACTTTGGTGTCGCTTACAGTTTTTAAATAAAAATTTAATAAACAATTGTCTTTAATTAATTTTATTGAGACTCTGAAGATAATTCAGGTTAGTTAGAATAGTCTTTAAAATAGTCCCAACAATCTAATAAATATTCCGTCTATATGAACTTTTATTGTAATTTATTTTCCTCCGTTAATAAATGTTTTTTTTATTCCATTTAGATTCTCGATAATAAACTTCTCTATCCACAATAAAACTAATCAAATTTTATAATAAAAGCTATTTAAGGAGGTCCTTTCGCCGTCAATGTTAAAGAAGAAATATTAAATTATGCATAAAATTAAGTTTTATCTAATAGTTAAAGTCCTTATTTATCTACTAGTGAAGTTTAATTTATTCTTCACCGTGCATATTTTTGAAAAAAAAATTTCTAAAAATGTTAGTATTTTTCCCGAGTCTTACGAGAAAGTCAGACCTTAACAACTTTCTCGAATTATGACATTAACCACTGATTAGATGGGGTAAAAAAAAACTCAAAATAAAGTTTTCGAAATATTCAGGTTTGATTTTTTGCAATAAAATATATAGGTTGCCGTGGAATTTATGGAGAAATTAAAATTATAAAATCACAGAAAATTTTTGAGTAACCTACATTTAAATGGCGTCTGAACATTTGGCAACGTTGCGTAGCGCGCGAGCTTCAGACCATTCAATAAATTCAAACTAAACTTTAACGCACTCATGTTTATCATACATACTTATTAATTAATTTATTGTTAACAAATTTTCATATTTCATAATTGAAAAATAAAACAATAATTAAAAAATACTAGCATTCTTGCCATTTTAAACATTAGAATGTTATGGTTTTATGACTAAACATTTTTAATTAATTTATTTATTTACACTGACTGAAAAAACTTAAACATGGTTAAGGTTATATTGTGCAAATGAAAATGTAAATAACCAATATGTAGCGTTGCCAAATCACGGACAGGTTACTAACAGCTGATTTACAAGAGTCAAATTAATTTTTGTATTTAACTATTTTTATTTTAATTTTCAAAATTTCAACGATTAATGCCTCGTATACTATTTATTTTTTAACTTTAGGAATTTTTATGGGTTCTTTATTTTAATTTATTGAATATTGACTACTACAGTTGTTGTGACTCAACTGGAGCGAAAGGACTTCCTTAAAATAATAAACAATTATTTCTATTAATAAACAATTAATATACTATTCCCAATTGTAAATTCGAAATTCTCTCAGTTAAAAGTCCTGGAAAATGTTGTAAATAATAAAACACTATTATTTTAAACAATCTCAATTAATTTAATTTCAGCTAAAAGAAATCTATTTTTCGGTTAATTAATTACGAAATTAAAAATTATTCATTTAAAAATTCCGTTTAAATAATTTTAGTTCCTCCAATCGATTTCTTCAAATTGTCACTCAAATTTATTTTACTATAGTAAATTTCAAGAATAAATTCTGAATAAATAATAGTGATTAAATTTGTCAGTGAAAAAAAAGGCAAAGAGTAAAAATATCTTGATTAAAGAACTGAATATTTAAGCGATGCAAATGTATTCACGGAAATTTCGTGTCTTATCTCGTGAAACTTGTCTCATATTACCAGTACAGGTTGCGCCAGCTGAAATTCACCGGCTCATTGGTATCTAGTAATAGTTGTTAAGCACGTACTGCTAATCAGCAGCTTAATATATTCAGCAATCACAAGAAATTACAATTACCAGTACGACACCCCATTCTGCCGATATCTTTAATCAGATTCCATTAATTATTCAACTCGATGAGATCCTCCACTCAGCTTGGCCTTTAATTTATTTATTCATCGGATTGCATGCTCAACAGACTTCAATCAAGATGGAGAGCCCGACAACATCAGCTTCATGATTAAACGAGTGAAAATCCACGGAGCAAGTGCACTTGAAGATCCCGCTTACCGCTTCAATGGCAAATATGGTGTCGAAGAATATCTCGAACTATTTTCAGGTTCGTGTTATTATTTTTTATTTAGACACTAGAATTTAAATTTACGCACGCAAGCGCGCGCCTTGACTATAGAGTTTGCATATATTTTCATGCTTATGATATATTCGACCAATCACGTTACGAGTAGTTTGATGCCACATACATTTCATCTCAATTTTATATTAGGATCACAGATAGTCCAAGAATATTACATACGCTTATCATGAAAGTAATTAGTAGCAATAAATTATTTCAATGAATAGACGATAAGTTTTCTCAGCGCGACGAACTAAAAAACCTTAACTGATTAGTCAACATTTACTTGACCGATTGATGAATAAAATAAAACAACGTCTAAACAATAGTTGGCCCATCGGAAGTATTTATGAATTAATTCAAATCATCAGCATCTCAGATTCACCATTAACAATTTAAAAATACTGATTTATAGTACTAAATAAAAAAATTATTTGAACAAACTGAGTGACGCCCCCGTAAGGCAGTAAGCTCAATCCGAGCTCACCGTTAATTAATTAGATAAATTTTTAAAGGCTTCGTGCTAATTAAACCCTGGTACAAACAATTCCAGTAATTGAGATAATAATCAGTAATTAATTATTGAACAAGTATATTTACTGAATGGACACTCGTACGAGGGCAATACCGAGCATTTACGTTTTTACCGACAGTATTGCAAATGCAGCTCCGCTTCTCCCACTTAGTGCGCTACCCCCTCCACCAGTGACCTTGAGTCCCGCTTAGGGAGATCGGAATACGAACAAGTGGTGGGGGGACCGTCTCTAAGGTTATTCAAGTAGTAGAGAACAAACAAATATTTAATTTACCAATTAACTAAAAATTTATTTATAAACTTTGAATATAACACTACCCGCAGCAATTCTAGAATCTTAAAGAACAGTTTTTAATTTTCATAGAAATCCGTCGAGTAGATTTTAAGTTTAATCGATCAACTTTGCATACAATAAATTTTTAACTTCGTGCTAAAAAAATTGAAAATTTTAAAAATTTGGGACGTTATTTGTTTCACCCCGCTCTGCGAAAATCAAGTTTTTATCAGATCTTGACGTTTTGAAGTCCTAGAAAGCTTCCCTTGCATGTGTGTGTATGTATGTAAATTTATTATAACTTCTGAACAGCTCATCCGATTCGATCAGAATAAGCGGTGTTCCAAGGAGTTCAATTACCTTTAGATTTCTGATACTAGATCGAAAAATTCGAGTCGATAAATTTTAAAAAATCTCAAAAATAAAATTTCCAAAAATTCGTTTTTTTGATATATCTTCTGAACGGCTGAACCGATCGATTTTAAAAACTATTCAGCTCTAAACCTCAAAAAACCACGTCGATCGCCACCAGTCCGGTCGAAATCGGTTGATTCATTCGTGAGATATCGTTATCGAAAAAAATGTTTCTTTCAGAATTTCTATAAAAATGTTAGTCTGACCAGTTTGCGTTTAAAAAATCTTCAAAGAGCTCAAACAACTGCGTTTAATGCCGTAAACGGCAAGAAAATCGGTTGATTCATTCAAAAGTTATTGCGGTTTGAAAATTCAAAAAATCGTATTCTATTAAACTTCTATAGCTCGGAGAGCTCAAAATGACATGAAAATTATCTTTTTGAGCTCGAAGAGCTCAAAAACGTAATAAGTGCAATTTTGAGCGCTTAAGTATGGAATTAGCGGGAAGTTGCAGGGATGGCTTTTAGGTTCAATCGTTTTCCAGATTTTTTTTCCGTTTTATGGTTAGATAGTTAATTAATGAAGCAAATTTAAAAGTCAGAGTTATTACAGAATTTTGTTAAACTCAATATATTTTTCATCATTACAAAACAAGTAACATAGTTATCTATTTAATTTCAGTTCAAGGTGAATAAATCGATTGTATTATTATCGTCCCTCATCACACAACAAAACATGGAATTTACATTTATTATTCCATTGAAAAAAAGAAACTGGTTTATTTTATAATCATACAATAGACGGTATGTGCGTTTTCAAATCCTTAAGATTAATTCACATCATCAACAAATTATTTTCACGGTAACCAAGATCTTCGATTACGATTTCGTTTGTGTTTTTTTAAAGTCTTTCGACGTTTAGAGCGTACAATTTTTGGTTCAACTCTTGACACCGTTTGCTTATGATCGGCTTTAGGATGAGTGGATAGTTTTTCTATCATTATTTTGACACAAAAAATTAATAACGCTATGATCAAACTAACCCCAAAAATTTTGTAAGTAGGGATTAAATCATTTTCGGTTACTTCGTCCATTTGTTCAGAGGCTTTAATTCTTTCTTTCTTTCTTATTTTCTTTAATCGATTAATAATCCGCTTTCTATCATCATAATTCATAAGCCCGGAATCAAATACGCTTTGTCCGATTTTGTCAAATTTCTTTTTCAAGGCCCAGTTCTTCCGGGTCCACGGTGCATAATAATTTGTAAAAACTGGATTTTTAGACATATACAAGTTTGGAAATTTTTTCATGAATGCTAATTGTAAAGAAGTTCTATAAATACAAGCGATTGTTGAATTTTGACGAACATTTTTGGTGCATTGAAATATTAGTTCACGATAATCAGAAGAATGCAAGAATTTTTTATCGTCATCAGTAACCCAGATATTTTGGTTTAAGATATCCTGATGTAACTCCTGATCGTAAAAGACATGATAACGATGATCGTACAAATTTTGCAAAGTCTCAATACTGTAACGAGACGGTCCTGCTAGAAGAGCCGATATTTCATCTTGAATAGCCGAAGATGTCGAAAAAATAAAAAAAGATGCTATGACAAACATAATCCGCATCGACAATCTACCGAGAGGCGTCATTATTCCCATATTAAATATCAGACTAAAAACATCTAGAAGAGAAACACCGAATGCAAAGTAGTTATGTATTAGTATAAAAATAGCAACTGATAGTATAACAATGATCGAAAGTCGATCGAAAGTCCGTTTTTGAGTTAATATTGAAAATTTAATTTCCTCATAATGAGTCACTTTATCAGTATATTTATAATTAGTATTCGCAATAGGGTTATTCCGTTCGTTAATATCGTAATCACCACTAGCTAATACTTTCAAGTATCCTTTTTTCATAGTATCAGCAAAAGAATCCGGATGGATAGCATATCAAGATGGTGTGATATTCAACAAATCGAAAAAAGAAGATACGGATGATATTCTTGGATTCACAATATTTGTAAAATTGCTAATATCAATCACATCATCACGAGTAGCATTTTGTACTGGATATGCCATCGTTGTCTTAATTTTATGATTGCCTAGCGTTTTAGATTTGTCAAAGGTAATGTTGTGACAAACGTTCCGATCTGTGATTCAAAATAAGATTTCGTTAGTAAAAAGTTATGAATCAAATAATTTGTATGAATTCTATAAAATTTACCATTATCAAAATGTTGATGAAATAGTGTTCCCTTCTCAGTAATTTTTTGACCAGTTGTTTCAGCACTTCTCCATGGATATGGTACATAGTTGGTAAATGGGTTGTAATTGTAGATTGTCAAATTGTAAGAGTCAGATTCTTGACACAAATAAAAAGATGAGAGTAAATCCATTTTCCATAACAATTTGAGAACTTCATTAGCGTTGTCACAAAAATTGTTTACTTCAACGATAAAAAAGAAAGATTCCACACTCCACGTTGTTGTTGATTTTAATTTATCGAATAGCGTTTTTAAATTTTGAATCGACTCAGAAACCGACAGTACATATGTCGGATATCTTGGATTGAACACTTGAATTTCTTTGGATTTAAAATTTTTATCGAGAATAATTATAGGTGGCTCTACGATTTCCCATAGAATCTTGTGAATTTTATCATACAAATCTTCAGTAATAATAAGAGGGTTGAGGCGGTCAGAAAAACAAAATTCAAGAAGTCGTTTCTGCAAATTATGAGTCAGTGAAAAAATCAAGCTGATTGGTTAATAGTATTAAAGTATAAAAATAATCAATTACCACATGGCTGTAAAAATGAACGTCTGAATCGGTTTGAAGCGAACTGTAAGTTGTTATTTGGCTACACGACACTTTTATTAACATAGAAATCAATATAATCTCTTTTACTCTCATTTTCACAATTAACATAATCACATCGATTCACATTAACTGATTTTTGTTTAATTAAACGATTTATATTTCTTTACTCTTAAGGGTCGGAAAATGTTATAACCACGTATAACAAAATAAGCAAATATGTAAAATAAGTCTGATTGCTTCTGAATGTCTGTTGCAACTGACCTAATATTTGCTACAACAATAAAAGACACGTCAGTTTTTTTACGACATCAGGGACGAAAGGGTAAAATGAAGTCCTACCTTCACTACATGCAACAGTAGTTAAAAGTGAGCTGTAATTAGAAATAGAATGCGATCAATATATATTTAAACTAAATGGTAGAAAAAATATACCAGCTGATGCATTGCATTACTTTTTAACTTCCCGCTCAGAAAATTGAAAATTTTCGAAAGTCGGGAAGTTATCGGTTTACCACGTTTTTCGAAAGTCGAGTTTTTATCAGATCTTGACGTTTTGAGGTCCTAGGAATCTTCCCTGACTTTTGCCGCGATGGTGTCTGTATGTATGTATGTATGTATGTATATGTGTGTATGTGTCTGTCTGTGGATGTATGTAAACCTCTCATAACTTTTGAACGGCTCGACCGATTTCATCGCGGTTGGTGCCATTCGAAAGAGCTTGATCAAACTTAGACTTTGAATAAGAACCAATTCGGACCAGTAGATTTTGGGAAATCTCAAAAAAACTACGAAAAAAATTTTTTTCAAATGTGGTTTTGTAGAATAACTTTTAAACGGCTTCACCGATCGATTCCAAAAACCAATCAGCTCTTAACATAAAAAAACCACGTCGATCACCGCAAGCCCGGTCAAAATCGGTTCATTTGTTTGTGAGTTATCCCCAGGTAGGGTTAACCAATGCTGACAAATGGCCCAGCCTTGGACCATTTGTTACTTTGCCAAGCCTTGGTAAGTTACCAGTGGTCCAGGCCTGGCCCGAGGCTTGGCCCAATAGTTCGACATTCTCAAGCCGAGCCTTGGGGTGCACCACTGGCCTAAGCCTGGCCCGAAGCTTGGCCCAATGGTTCAATATTTTGGAACCAAGCCTTGGGAGATCACGACTGGCCGAAGCCTGGTCCGATGCTTGGCCCAATGTCTCGATACATTTCAACCAAGCCTTGAAAAATCACCACGGACTTAAACCCGGTTCGATACTTGGCCCAATGCTTCGAACACTGATAGAAGAATTTAATAGAATTTAATAAATGACTTGTCAACAAAAAAATTTTAATAAATATAGTTATTAATCGTTGACAAATTAATTTTAACTATCATTTCTTTGTTGCTGAAAAATGTATAAAACTCTCGAAACTGCTCAAAATTATGATCATGTATTTATTTTTGGTAATAGAAAATTTAATTATTTCGTTAAAATCAAATGAATTAAAAAAAAATATATTTCATAACGGTATTATGTCAACAAATTATACTATCTGAACTAAACAAAATTTTTAGCAGTTATAAGTTCAATTTTAATTATGGAATATCATGTAATAAAGCAAAATGACTGAGTGATGTTTAAGTAACTAAAACTAATCTGTTAGTGTTACTACGAAGTGCAGCGAAGTCAGTACAGTTCGAGACTTTCACGCGGGTGACCCAGGTTCGATTCCCATCGTGAGCAAAGATTTTTTCAAGGTAATCTGGTGTAATCGTGAGATACGATAACGTAAAACTGATAATAAACCGTAAAATCTGGGCCATTTGTTTCCCAAGACTCGGCCCAAGCCTTGTGTTATGGTTTTCCAAGGCTTGGGGACATAGTTATCATCCTAGGCTTGGACCGAGCCTTGGCCCAATGTTTAGCCAAGGCTCGTGCCAAGCCTTACCCAAGGCTGGTGACGCTTGGCCCAGGCTTGGTCCAAGCCTTGTCCAGTTGTTCTTTCCTACCTGGGGATCGTTGACGAAAAAAAGTGATTTTTTCGAATTACACAGGAATTTCCGGTCTAATTAATTTGTGTTTAAAAGTATATCATCGAATTTGAAAAACTACGTCGAATGCTGCCAACCGCGTGAAAATCGGTTTATTCATTCAAAAGTTATTGCAGTTTGAAAATTTAAATAATGGTATTTTTTTGTCATATCAACCACCAAAGTTGGATTTTCGAGCAACATACAGAGGATTCAAAGAATACGATTTCTGGCAATCTATAGCATAGTTAATTTACCTCGCACTAGTATCGAAAAGTAACTTCTTTCTTTCTATCTAATTCTACATTTCTGCACGACTACGCTAAAATACGCTATAGATGAGACGAATTATCTTTTAAATCGACAAACGTCCGCTGGCTGAAGTAAAAACCGCAAAAAGAATCTTAGCGACAGTTGAACCTTGTAAACAACTTCATCATATACGTACGTTTAATCCATCGCTACTTAATCTCGTGTGACATAATTCTTGTGTCTTTAAATAAAATAAGCCGTAATTGAAAATTTTTGACTGTTCTCTTAAATACAACTTCTGCAATCGATATGACAAAAAATTATGTTCGATACTTTATGCTCAAAGGTAGGGACCCTGACAAACTCGAAGTGAAGGCACACGTTTGAGGCTATGGATACATTCTCATCAAGACTAAATACCTCCGTCTTACTAAGAATGCGCCCATAGGCTCAAACTTGTGACGTCACTTCAAGCCGTCAGAATCCCTACCTTTGCGCATATGTATCGAAAATAACTATATTAAACGTCTATCAAACTTTTGAGCTCGGAGAGCTCAAAATAACACATAAATTATAGTTTTGAGCTAAAGGAGCTAAAAAACGTCATAAGTGCAATTTTAAACGCTTAATAGATATGGAACTAGCGGGAAGTTACAGGGATGGCCTTTAGGGTCAACCGTTTTCCTAATTTTTTTTTAAATAGAAACTTTTTACATCTTTTCTCGTCACTCTTCCCAAAATGATCATTAGCAGTCAACTGAAAAGTAGTAGACAACAAACAAATAATTTATAAAAAACTATAATATTATAACCATATTTTTGCTGAGTTTTAAAAAATTTATATTAAAACAAATTGAGTTTGTAATGGTTTATTAATATAAATTCATTTCTATTGTTTATTTAAACAATAAATGGCCATAAATGGTACAGTGGCCACAAACGGTAGTTCTACCCTATTTAATCTATCTATCAACTAAAAATTTATTTAGAAACTTTGAATATAACACTATCCGCAGCAATTCTAAATTTCATCAAAATTCGTTGAGTAGATTTCAAGCTTAATCGGATTAAACATACGTACTAAGAAGAATGATTAAAATATTTCTCGTAACTCCCATTATATTTTATTCCGCAAAAACAAAGCCAAACTTTAGGAATAAAAAAAGAGACAATGAAAGATGGGATGATAAACGGGCAAGTACCTTGTTATCTAGATCGTTATTCCACTCATTTTCACTCGGTTAATTGAATTATCTCTAGCTTGAATTACTCAACACACTTGCACTACTGCCATTACTCTCTCGTTAATTCACTCTTTATATCTTTTATCACAATCCACCGAGATGAGCCTGACCCAGACTAGACTCTAGACACTCTATTTTATTCCGCAATTATATTACAATTCAACGTCGCAATGTAAACGACTCATCACACTGTACTTTACTCATCCGCGTCTATGGAATGAAACTTAATTTAATAATATCATTCCCGGATAGTCCGTCAAAAAATAATTAATGACAGTAATAATTACAACAAACTTTTTTGCCTCTTCGACCTTAGCTCGGCATACAATTAGTAACTTTGTATAGTTTTTTTGTTAATTTAAACTTATCGCCGGCGGTTAAATTGCTCATCAGTTTCCTCTCGATTTAATTCAAATTGCGAGTTTGCTCACTCGTTAATATATATAGGAATAAAGAGGAAATTGATCTGCCAATTTGCTTGTAGGTTGCTTTGTAATTATCCAAAGTTTTTTACGCGCTGGTAATTACTTGGTTAAACTCAAATTTTTCATCAAGTATAATTCAATCAATGATTAAATTGATAAATATTGAAGGACTAAGTGGTATCAGTCGGAAATTTTTATTAATAAAAATATTGGAACGAGACGATGATTTGATGAAATTATAATTAATTATGTCGCCGCTTAAATAATTTAAGAGGAAACTTATCAATTAGTATAAAATTACACACGAAGCTTTAGAATAATTGGATTGCAATCCACCCGAGTTGGATATTTTTAAAATTTATTAAACTACGTCCTCCTACTCGACAAAGTTAATGACACTCGACGAAAAATAATATTATTGTACTGCTAATAAAATATTATTTAAATAAACTTGAACATCTAGGGTAAAAAATAGAACGGGTGATGGTATTTAAAATTTATTAGAAGCTCAAGCCCTGACAATTCATTTTTCGAAATATTTTTCAAAATTTTTTCACCCGCGAAATTATTAAAATTCCCTGAAAGATTGTTAGTATAGCTTTGATAAACAATAATCTTCGGAACTTAGAGAAATATTTATCAGATTAGAGCTATCTGAAAGCTGAAAAGTTATTTCGATGTAATTTACTGTATAATTACTTTCATGAAAATAAATAAATTAGTAAACAGGACTCGGAAATAAATTGACCGATTTAGCTGATCTTGTAAATTTATATTCGGTATCCGCCCGTAAAATTTGTCCACTTTATTCCATTGAGATCAGTTGAGAATCGTCGCCGCGATTTATTTGGAACAAAGCGCTGTTTCACATACTTGCATATGTTACATTTGTCGCCAATTCATTTTTCTGCTCGACAAAATAAAACTTTTCTGAAGTTCATCTTAATTCTGACATATGGCTGACTCTAATAAATTTTTAAAGAAATACACCTAAATATTTCTTTATTATCTAATCAACAATTTGATACATTTCTCGAAATAAATATTTTTCTTAAAAATATTTTTTATTACATCGATAAATCGTAGTGTACTAAATATCGCTTTAACAACTATATAATAATAATTATTAATGCTCTATTTTTACAAACAAATAGGGTAAAAGACCCCATTAGTGGCGGGGACCCCCATTACTGACACTTTCTCTGATTTTAGTACTTATTCAATTAATTATATCCTTAATTTCAATAATGAATATATTATTTCTAATCTTTAAGACCTTTTGATCAAAAAAATTTGTAATTTTTATTTCAAGAAGAACATTTTTTTATTGAAAGAAAAAGTGCCACTAATGGGGGTTAAAGTGCCACTAATAGGGTCTTTTACCTTATTTATCGAATCTATTTGAAAGTTTAAAATATCTCCAGCTCTAGAAATAACAATTTACACAGAATTTTTAAAATATAACAATTTTTAGCTTGAAATCAATAGAATAACGAGTAAAAAGATAAAAAAGCAGAAAAAAAATTCCATTTTCTACCACTTTTAAAAATCTTAAGCGACATCTAAAAATTTTCTTTTATCAAGTTAACTTTTAAAGATAATTTTTAAAATATGATAAAAAAAATTTATTTTAGGTAAAAGCCCCTATTATTGACAGGGCCTCCACTATTGACACCTTATTTAATTTTATTATTTCATTATTAAAATCTATAACTAATCACAATTGTTGATATTTCATGACAATTTTACATATTTTTTAAATTAAAAAATAGTAAAATTTAATTCCAAAGTATAAACTATTTACCGCAAAAAGATTTCATTTCTTCAAGCAGGCCAAAATTGCTTATCCGTTTGTAATTTCTTAACAATATTGTTAAGAAAGACCTCATTTTCAAATCCAGATTTCTCAATGTTTTTTTTATGTAATTGCATTGTTTAAAATTATTTTAGATTATTTATAGTCTAAATAACCATATAATCATTTATTTATACTTTATCGAGTTAAAATTAATTTTAAAATAGCGGATGTCAATGATGGGGACACAAAAATTAACTTGCGTCAACTAACGACATAGGCCATAATGTAAGGTAACCTAGTTCCCTCAACATACATATCAACGTATTAATGTTTACATACTGTCATGTGATTTTATAAGAATCAAAGTATTTGAGACTAGAAAAAATTGCTAAAAAAAAAACCTGGTAAAAAATATAGAAAAGCTAGGTCTTAAACGAATTTTAAAATAATAAAAATTATTGATAGTTTTGCATTAGTTAGTAAAAATGATTATTGTTAATATAAATTCAACTGTAATAAAAGACCTGTCAATAATAGGGTCAATGGTATGTCAATAATCGGCTCTTTGAATTTTTGCGCTGTCAATAATACATAAATTCGACCTGTTGGTTTTAAGTTGATGTAATAATTATTAAATTTATTGCTATTAAAGTTAATTAATTAAATTATATAAGTAGAAACAATGATTAAGGTGTCCTATCAAAAAAATTTGACAATATTGATTTAAAACGAGATAAAAAAATTCAAATATTCATGATCACTCTTATAGTATCAATAATGGGGGCTTTTACCTTATATGATTTAAAGAATAAAAACATCTGACCAAATTCATTAAAATTAAAAATTGCTACCATAAAAGTGATAAGAAGTAAAGTAATTTCTTTTTAAAAAACCATTTTCCAAGAACGTAAGTACAATAGTTTTGAAGTAATAGCAGTAAAGCTTGATTTCATATGCCATTAAAGGAAATTAAAGAAAGTTTACAAACTTTCAGAGGAAAACTACGACGCGTTTTGTCTGTCTTATATGTTCACTTACCGTGATTTTGAGAAAGGAACTTTGGGGCTGGCCTGGACCGGAGACTTGAAGAATGCCGGGGGTGTGTGCGAGAAGAATGGGGTAAGTTTTAACGAGCGTCAACTATCTGATGCATTACATGCACATATATATCTCTGGCCACGTATTACTATAACTATACCGGCTTAATACTTTATAACTTAATTTTCTCCATACTAGCTTTCTTAACGTCCGGACATTTATCTTCTCGTAAAACTACCGACATACATTTTTTAAATTCAATTACTTTCGGGAAATCTTTTTGGTTAAACTCATCACTAAAATACTCCGTTAAACTTATTTTGAGTTTTATTTCATTACCGTCAGTTCTAAAACAATTCTAGTAACGCTTATCCTTGAAATGATCGTTATTGTATACCAATACCAACAATTAGTATGCCGAGCAATTATAATCATAATGATCAAATTTATAATATAGTATAATGATTATATAAATATGATTTTCAGCATTACCGCGGAAGCATGAAATCATTGAACACGGGAATAATTACTCTATTAAATTATGGGAAACATGTACCACCAGCTGTATCACATGTCACGCTGGCTCATGAAATCGGGCACAATTTCGGATCACCGGTGAGTAATTGTTATTGTTGTGTATTTTATTGGTTATTTTGAAGCTTTTGAATGTAATTACTTTGAGTTGTCATTAGTTGATTGAGCATGATACTAGTTAATGATAAATTAATAGCATTGAAATTATGGGATTTATTAAACGAATTAATACAATAAATGAGATTAATTTTAGAACTGTAGAAGAACATTTTTGAAATATTTTATAGAAAGTACAATATTACTCTCCGTTGAAAATGTTAATATGAAAACGAATAACTTTGTATTGTACATCACGAAAAAGTGGATCCTGTTTTAAATTTACAATAAGCAGATCCATTAGTATTATACATATTTTGAATTTAAATTTTCCATATTCACTCCAAACGCAGAAGTTTTGTTGAAATTTTATTTTCACAAATAAAAGATTGGATTATTTTATAAATTATTTTATTTTAATTTAACAAACTGAACTTCTGTACGGCTGATTGTAAACCAAAAACTTTTAAGCCCCAGAGTGAGGATAAAGTTAAAAGAATACATAATAAACGTTAAATAAGTTTATTCACCGATAATTACTGTTTAATAAGATTTTTATCTGTTACTGAATTGTTGGATTGAATAAAGTTTTGCGTTAAGACAATCGATGGAAATAAATCACAGTATGACCATCAATGTCACCTCATTTTATTTTTTGAGCTACTTTTCAAGTGCTGGAACAAAATAATAGACTCAATTTAAATTAAACATCCACCAGTGGAAATTTTTGCTTATTTTCCGGGCTGTGACATCCATTTTATGGAATTGAGATACCATGTGTTATTCGGAAGTTATTTTAAGATAATCTCGGAAAAGTAACTAGTCGAAATATTTTTGAAAATTATAAAAAGCTGTAAAATAATTTGAAAAATTATCAGATAAATAAGTTACAATATAAATGAAAGCTTTGATGAACTTTAAGATACATTTTACAAAATTTTGTCAAAGTGATTAGAGTATAATTTAATGAATTTCAATTTTTATAGAATTGATTGAGTTAATTGTGCGATATAGATAAATCACGCGTACCTAGTTAAAATATATATTTCTAATAAAACTTGAGTAAACTAAAGTTTAAATGGGATACTGTTAGCATCTAATAACTAACTAGTCGAACAAAAGAAGTAAAAAGAAAAAAGAAAAGATAATAAAAAAATCAAGAAAGACGACAACATTTTTCGGTTATAAGTTTGAATAGTACAAGCTTTAAAAACAAAAAGGTTTTAATAATGTCTATAACCGTAAATAGTTTTAAAATCGTAAGATAATTTGCACAAAGTTGGGTTTATTACTTTTGAAATTAAATCGTGAAAGCCGCAGGTGCTGTTACTACTGGTTCATTAAAATCCCTTTCATCGATATACTCGGTTATAAACCATAAAGTGCAAGTTTAACGTAATGTTACTTGCACATGTTCGAGCACGTTAGAGCCCATTACAGCTTCCAATGTAATTTACAAACTACTTTTGCTCGACTCGACTCTACTCCGTTCACTCTATTTATTTTAATTTAATATTTTGAATTCAATACCAACTTCAACATTGCACTAAAATTACAGCAGTAACTTTGTGTAAATATAATGATCCCTGCTGTTTAATTACTGTGATTAATGTTACTACATACAACGTAGAAGTTTATAATATCATAAAAATTAGAACTCATTTATTTTTCTAAAATAACTTGGAAAAAATGATGACTAAATTCTGTAAAATGTATCTTAAAGTTCATCAAAGCTTTCATTTATATTGTAATTCATTTTTCTGATAATTTTTCAAATTATTCTACAGCTTTTTATAATTTTCAATAATATTTCGACTAGTTACTTTTCCGAGATTCTATTTTGGCTTATTTTGAAGAAAATATTGCTCTGCACTCTCTTTAATTTTCCGAAGAGCTTTCGCTGCTTTCAATAGACTCTCGACAATACTTTTGTTCACAAAATTGAATTAATTTTGTTAAAATGTTCACTTAATCAGTTCATTGATGTGAAAATTTAATAAGAAAGTAGTACAAGCTCAAAGTCTATACCTTTGTTTGAATCTAAAAAATTATAAATTTTACCAAAAATTATTTCTTATACTTTTTTTCTCGTTTTCACCTATTGTACACAAATAACTTCAAAAAGGAATGACGAAATTCTGTAAAATGTATCTTAAATTTTATCCCATTTAAACTTTAGTTCACTCAAGTTTTATTAAAAATATATACTTTAACTAAGTACCCGTGTTTTATCTATATCGCAAAATTAACTCAATCAATTCTATAAAAATTGAAATTCATTAAATTATACTCTAATCACTTTGACAAAATTTTGTAAAATGTATCTTAAAGTTCATCAAAGCTTTCATTTATATTGTAACTCATTTATCTGATAATTTTTCAAATTATTCTACAGCTTTTTATAATTTTCAAAAATATTTCGACTAGTTACTTTTCCGAGATTATCTTAAAATAACTTCCGGATAACACATGGTATCTCAATTCCATAAAATGGATGTCACAGCCCGGAAAATAAGTAAAAATTTCCACTGGTGGATGTTTAATTTAAATTGAGTCTATTATTTTGTTCCAGCACTTGAAAAGTAGCTCAAAAAATAAAATGAGGTGACATTGATGGTCATACTGTGATTTATTTCCATCGATTGTCTTAACGTAAAACTTTATTCACCCAACAATTCAGTGGCAGATAAAAATCTTATTAAACAGTAATTATCGGTGAATAAACTTATTTAACGTTTATTATGTATTCTTTTAACTTTATCCTCACTCTGGGGTTTAAAAGTTTTTGGTTTACAATCAGCCGTACAGAAGTTCAGTTTGTTAAATTAAAATAAAATAATTTATAAAATAATCCAATCTTTTATTTGTGAAAATAAAATTTCAATAAAACGTCTACGTTTGGAGTGAATATGGAAAATTTAAATTCAAAATATGTATAATACTAATGGATCTGCTTATTGTAAATTTAAAACAGGATCCACTTTTTCGTGATGTACAATACAAAGTTATTCCTTTTCATATTAACATTTTCAACGCAGAGTATTATTGTACATTTTTTCCTCAAAAAATACTTGAGCACGTTTTTCTATTCTTTCATTTTTACTGATAGTGATAATCAAAACTAAATATCTCCAGCCCGTTTAATAGCTTTAAATTTACAGCACGACCCCGATGAATGCTCTCCCGGCGGAGAAGACGGTAATTTCATAATGTTTGCACGTGCGACTAGCGGCGACAAGAGAAATAACAATCGATTCAGCCGGTGCAGTCTCATATCAATAAATCCCGTTTTGGACGTCAAAGCTCGTTCCACCAAAGGCTGCTTTGCTGGTAAGTCCACTATTGTCTCTAGCTAGAAAAAAAGAATAAAAGAAACATTCTGAATGCCGTGTAATATCGTTAAATCCTTGAAACGGATAAGTACACCACCGGTTCCAGTCTTTCTCTTGCTTTGCTCTTGCTCTTTTTCCTCTGCTCTGATTCCAAGGGTCGCTTCCCGGTAAGCTAAAGACACTAGATTGGATGCAATCGAGCGCTATATTGAGTACGTCCAATCGAACTTACGGGCAGAAGACGCCTCGAGGCTGGAGGGTGACAGAAAGCTCCAAGAGAAGAAAGAGGAAGAGAACGAAGGTGGAACGGGAAAATCAAATCAAATGTCACGTCTGTACATTCAATTAGTGTCAGTAAATCCGTATCTAATGCCTCGTCGATTCAACTTCTGCACCGAATCTTAATAAGAGTCTTCCAGAATATGGGAATCAGTAATTCAATTTTATTATTCGCTTACCTTATTTAAGGATTATTAAGTCTATAAACTGGATTATGTATTAAATTTATCATTTCTTATATACAATTTAGTACTTTAATTAGATATAATTCTTAAGGTAGTTTGGGCTTCAAATAACTTTAACTTGACCCCAGATTTTTTTATATTCATTCGAAAGATTATAATTTAATACATCTATAGAAAAAAAATCAAATTTTTTTACCACACCGTTTAAGAGGTATAATTAATTAAAGTTTTGCAAAAATACACGGTCCTTGTTCAATAACTCCGGAAATGGAGAATTTATAAAAAATCGGCTAACTTGACCCAATAAAAAAAACTTTCCAATAGATAGAACAATGTTTCATACATATTCTATCAAAATTTGATAACGATTTACCACATAGTTTTAATTTAATTAATTTTTTAATATCATAAATTGGTTTCTATCTTTGTTGTTTGTCGGAGACATTACTCCCTCATCTTCATTAGGGCCGAAAAAATGGCGACTTCTCGGTGCGCGGCAAATTTGAAATTGAAATATAATCATAAAGTTTTTTTGCATTAAAATAAATTGTTATTAAACATAAATTAAAAGTTCACGTAAATTATAACAGATTTAATATATTGAAGTGATCTTTGCAAATTTAAACAATAAATAAACACCGTGAGCAACTGTTTTAAGTACCAACCTTACATAATTTATAACAGTTGTTATTGTTTTGTGACAGCCCAGTACTTGTCAGTTGATATTTTAATAGTTATATTATTATAATTATTTGACCATAATTATGAATTGAATTTAATCAATTAAATTCTGATTAGAAATAATTTTATATTTTATACTATTTTTCGAGTGATCTTTTGCAAAAAAGAAAAAAAAATATCTATTAATTTGACTTTGGAATGCGGAGATCAAACTACCTTATTTTTTCTTTGTCTCAATACTTTTTTTTTTATCAGGGTCAATTTACAAGTTAAAGTGAAAAAATAAACATACACACACTAGTATAAGTAGAACATCGGTGTGACCAATGTTTACGATTTAGTTGTAGGTGGCGCAATTTCTAGTTTTTACTAGATATGATTGCTAGTCAAAAATTGAACATTTCTACTAGGGATTGGATTCAATTGAACAATTTTTTGCTAAAGCTATTCCAGGTTAATAGTTGCGAGAATAATAATAATCCTAACAATAATATACGTGTTACTTGCCGTAAATATATTTTTACTTGACTTGAATTTAAATTCGCTTAATGTCGGCAATTCTAATTACTAAATTTAAATTTTCAATATTCTTCAATCAAGAGATTAGTTTTAAGAAAATTATTTCTCAACTTTTAAGAAAATCTCAAACAAGTAACTTTAATTAAACTGTGGTAGAACAAGTTTCTAATATTTAATTTAAATTCGTTAAATGTCGGCAATTCTAAAATACCTTACACTTTTTTACAATAGAGTAATTATTTTTAATTACTTTATTTTTATTTGAAACATACTAAAAATTATTTTCTACTTTTTAGTTTTTTAAATTATTATTTAATTTTCTTAACATAACTATGATATATATTTGTAATAAACAATTTTGTGACTTTTATGTACACTCAAAAGTGTGCTAATTGCATCGCTAGTACTGTAAATTATGTAACAATATTGAATTACGTCATTAATTAACTGTAATTTGTTACTCAAACACACAAATATTCGCTTAATTTCGGTAATTTTAATTACTAAATTAAAATTTTTAATATTCTTCAATCAAGAGATTACTTTTTCTTCAGAAAATTCTTTCTCGGGAATTAAAAAAAATAAATTAATTCAAGTAAATTTTGTTTTTGAATTTATCGAGTATAATATAGTTTTTATGGCATATTTATCATATTAAGTTTTTATTTGTGAAAAAATTCGACTTGCCGATGTACAATTAAACATTTGCTTCTGCCCCGAATTGAAATGAAATCATCCCAAACACTTTGTCATGAATAAATAATGAAATAAGAGGTATTATATATATATATACCATAATCCATAATTTAATAATAGCTATTTCATATGCATTCAAATTCCCTTTGCATATATTAATTGCGAAACAAAATTTATATTAATTATTCATGCCTGCGAATGTTTATTCAGTTAAATAATTATTCATTCTGTTATTTTCCTTTAATTTACTGATTTATATTTCATTACAAGTTTAATTTAATTATTTCCCCCAGTACTTTATTTGTAATCGTTATTGGACATAAAAAAAAAAAAAAGAGTAACGAAAAAGGAAAGGGCAACAGTTTATTGGAAAAAAAAGTTTAAAAATATACCGAGTGCACAGCAAAGAAGTTTATATCGATCGATTTTACTTTTTTCGAGCTGCAAATTAAATGCGGTTTTATGCAGGAACGAAAAAACAGTAATTGATTTATTGAGTTTAGATAAGTTTTTAATTAAATTAAATTGAATTCGAATTTTTGAGGGAGGGAGAAATTGAAAATTATAATCGGATTTGTGTATTAATGTCACAGGAATCTTTTTAATTATTTACAATTAATTACAGTTTTCCGAAGCGGTAATTATCGTGAAGCGTTCCACATTTTTAACAAATATAAATAATGCTGTGAAGCGGGAAAGAATAGGAGTTACGGATAATTATTACGTGAAGCGTTCCAACATTCACGTAACAGGATAATTGGTAGGAAAGGATTGAGAAAGGATTATGGAGAGGAACTTCTTAATGTGAGTGTATAGAATATGTGAGAAAAAATTATTAGATAGCTCGGACTGGGATTCGAACCCAGAACCTTCCGAAGACATGTCGGCTACTCTACCATTTGAGCTATCCGGTCTATACTAAATTTCCTTTCACTTATTCTATATACATTAAGCCACACCGTCTATCTTACGGTTAGCATTTTTAACAAATATAAATAATGCTGAAATACCTATATCAGTTATTAACTAGTTTTATTATTTTTATAAATTTGATTTTGAATTGTTAATAACTTTTTAAAATGACCGATAAAAGATTTTTAATTCTTTTGATAAGATAATTATATAATCAAACTTATCGAAACTAAAAAATATAGATTTTTATCGAAAAGTACTATAGATGCCATGGAAGTAACTTTTTTATGTTAAAAAGAAGCAACATAAAAAAGTTGATTTTTTTATTAATTTTTAAACTCCAAAGTAATTTTTTATTATTAATTTTCATAGTAAAAATTTTTGTATTTTAGTCCTTAATACGGTCTGTATTAAAAATTATTGTTTTGAATTGAAATTTTTTTTATGTTTCTCATTTTTAAAAAAAGTTTGGAAAATCCAAAAGTGCACGCCTCATAACACTTATTCATTTTTTAAGAAAAAAATTAAGGAGGTCCTTTCGCCATCAATGTTAAATAAAAAATATTAGATTATGCATCAAATTAAGTTTTATCTAATAGTTAAAGTCCTTATTTATCTACTAGTGAAGTTTAATTAATTCTTCACCGTGGAAATTTTTGAAAAAAAAATTTCTAAAAATGTTAGTATTTTTCCCGAGTCTTACGAGAAAGTCAGACCTTAACAACTTTCTCGAATTATGGCATTAACCACCGATTAGATGGGGTAAAAAAAAACTCAAAATAAAGTTTTCGAAATATTGAAGTTTGATTATTTGCAACAAAATATATAGGTTGCCGTGGAATTTATGGAGAAATTAAAATTATAAAATCACAGAAAATTTTTTAGTAACCTACATTTAAATGGCGTCTGAACATTTGGCAACGTTGCGTAGCGCGCGAGCTTCAGACCATTCAATAAATTCAAACTAAACTTTAACGTACTCATGTTTATCATACATACTTATTGATTAATTTATTGTTAACAAATTTTCATATTTCATAATTGAAAAATAAAACAATAATTAAAAAATACTAGCATTATTGCCATTAAACATTCGAATGTTATGGTTATGACTAAACATTTTTAATTAATTTATTTATTTACACTGACTGCAAAAACTTAAACATGGTTAAGGTTATGTTGTGCAAATGAAAATGTAAACAACCGAATACAGCGTTGCCAAATCACGGACAGGTTACTAACAGCTGATTTACAAGAGTCAAATTAATTTTTGTATTAAACTATTTTTATTTTAATTTTCAAAATTTCAACGATTAATGCCTCGTATACTATTTATTTTTTAATTTTAGGAATTTTTATGGGTTTTTTATTTTAATTTATTGAGTATTGACTACTGCAGTTGTTGTGACTCAACTGGAGCGAAAGGACTTCCTTAAGGCATGCACATTTGGATTTTTAAAACTCTATCTATTTTTTAGTATTACTATTAACACTTTGATTATTTTAGGTCATAAAATTTTTTTTTAACAAAAAATTTCTGTTAAAAATTGTTTACTCTATAAAACATTTTTAGTTATAAAAAATTCAATCTATTCGCCTCGTTTTATGACGACCTACAGCAGTTCCAAGAATAACCGATAAAATAAAGGTTTTGTTATAATTTTATTTTAAAGAACACCAAATAGCCATTTGCGGTAATGGGGTAGTTGAAGAGGGCGAGGAGTGTGACTGCGGATGGGAAGAAGATTGTAATGATCCATGCTGTCATCCTCAACGATTACACCATGCGCCGTTCGAAATTCCCTGCCGCTTAACTGAGGACGCAGTTTGCAGTCCTAGTCAGGTACTTGTGCTATTTTTATTATTATTTTAACTGCTATTGCCGGTATTTTTACGCCTATACTCTGTATTTCTACATGGATTATATGTATACTTCACAGTACCACAGTACTACATAATTTTATATGGTCCGTAATTGCGGAGCCAAATTAAAAAACATAAATGAATAACCTTAATGAATAGACTCCAATGCCGTCGAACAATATATAAATATGTTTCTTTTAATGTTAATTCTTTTCAATTATTTTCTGGTTTTCAATAGTTGCAAATTACTGTTCGCGCGTGAAAAATTAATACAGATGCTTAATTTTATTCCAAAAATACGCGCTCAGGAGTTAATCAGTCAGATTGTCAAATAATTAAATTAGAGTTTAGTAATATTTTATTACACTGCTAAAAAATGGAGGAGAATTTTTTTTCTACTTGCAGTACGCAGTTTTTACACTAAAATAATTTTTAATTAGCTTAAACAAGTTTCATGTGCAAAATTACTGAAAAATACTTCAAACAATTTATCTCAAGTTTAATTTTGTAAATATTAATTATATTTTTCAAAAAATTTAACCAAATTTTCATAGAGATTACGTTATTGAAATTCAAATTTTTTTTAATTTGTCAATTACTGCATCAACAAAAAATGTATCTTGATTTGAAAGAAATGTGCACGGAAAAAAGTAAACTGTAATAAATAACAGTCGATTTATAATAAGTAATGATCAACTGTTAAAAATTACCATTTCAAACAGTAAAATCGTGATTTTACTATTCACTTTATAATATTTACCATTTTAACGTTGCAATTTACTCTTTACATGGAAGAAAATACTATTTCAAACAGTAATATTAGCTATGTAAATGTTTAAAATGTTTAAGTATAATAATTAAGAATTCAGACTTTGATATTTATCATTTTGTACCTAAAAAATGATCTTATGATGTGTAAAAAG